AAAACATCATGGAGAGGAGATAGTGACAGAGACGCAGCACGCCCCACTCCACTCTCCACCGGTAGAAATGCCCCACTGTGTTGATTATTGATCAATGCGTGGTGATGCCCGCGCGCGATGCGTGCCACCACTCACCTGGGCAGCGCGCGCGCGCGCCTCTTGGGGTCACCGCGCCACTTTGTTCGTGGGGATCAATGCAGCCGGACAGACCGGGTCACTGGCAGCGCGATCTGCACGTGTGCGCTGCACATCGACTCTTATCCTTGTCTGGGCTGCACACTGACACAGCTGTAACTTCACCGAAAACACCGAGATACACTAACAGACCTCAACGGGCGAAGCTCGCGTCGTTCGTCCTTTGAATTCCCGAAACGAGGAATCTCTGGCCCCAGGTTGGTTGGCCTGGGATCCGCAAATATTACGATTTATGTTTCTGGTACCTCTTCCACGGTAGATCGAACATCAATTTCCAAAATACCGAACGGGCGGATTACAGGCCGACAGTGTAGCTCCGTTATCGCTCAGGGGGGTAGACAGCAGGAGAACAGTGGGCTCCCTGTTTTTGGCGCCCACCGGTATTTTTAGAAAACACACCGCAAGCAGCCGGCACGAGGGCGTAATGGGGAGCGCAGCTGCCAACCTCGCCGCTCTTGGGCTCCGGGTTCGAGTCTGGACCTGGAGGTCTGTGTGGAGCTCGCACGTTCTCCCTGGGACTGCTCAGGGCTCCGTGTCCACCCGCTCAGACACGCTCGGCCGGCTAGTTATTCCGTGTCCCCGAGTCGACCGCGTGTGTGCACGAACCCAGCGCGTCGCTTTTTGACAGCCGCTTTTATATTTACAGCAGCGGGGTTAGCTCTCCGAGCCTGACACACGGATAACACACACAAGCGCTTAAGCTGCGACGTCTCTTGGGTCTCTGAGAAAAAAGTTTGAATGAAAAGGAAAAACGGAGGGCCGAGTTTAAGACGCGGGGGTGTGAGGGTTGCAGTTGTGCAAAATACGGAACAGGTACACCTTACTGTTACCACAGTATTAATTATCTCTGTGTTAAATTCGGTGATTAACTATGTCACGATGACAGGACAGATATTCGACATCAAAATGGGAATTCAAGACACAAAAGTTCTGACAGCAAATAATCAACATTTAAATAGGAGCGCGTCGCTACCAACAGCACGCAGCTATAAACCAGCGCGCCCGGGTTCATGAGGGACAGAAGCTGAGCCATGAGTCTGCTTACCTTTAAAGTCCATTCCCACGTCTCTAAAACTCCCGGGTCGCCCGATTTGTTTAGATCCAGGGACGCGGTGGGGTGGGAAATTCGCCGCGACTCCGATGACGATAGTTCAGCCGAAACTAGAGCGAATCCGTCCGGGGAATCCGAGCCGGCCCGTCCGCTGTCCGGCCCCGGGTGGGACAGGTGTGAAGACACGGGCTCGCCCAGCCCCGATCGCGCATTTTAAACTCGGCGAAAGGTGCTCTGAGAAAGGAGCGCGGAGCGCAAACTGGCCCCTGGGCTGCGAGGCTGAGTGACGGAATTTATCATCATTTTCATTCAACCAGGGCCGTTACATTCGGCTGCTGTGATGCGCCGTAGCTAAATCCCTTAAAAGCCTAGTTTCGCTCTCTCTCTCTCTCTTTCCCTCTCTCTCCCTCTTTTGCGGTTTCGCTAATGGATACAGCTTTTCTTTTTGGGGTTTAAGTGAGCGCGTTTCGGAGGGGGAGGGAGACCGGAAGACCCAGTACAGGAGTGTTTTGAAGCGGCAAGCCCGCTTAGAGCAGCGCCTGGAACGCGGGGAGAGAGCGGTGGCCGGTAGCCCTTCACTGGAGCGCTCGGATGTCAAGGCGAAAGAAGTGAAATTCAACTGAACAGCGATTTAGGAATGTGACAACGGTGCGTTCATAGTTCAGTTCATTCCCTTGGGGACTGAGGGTTGGTGTGTGGGTGTGTGTGTGGGGGGATACTTCTATGTTTCATGAAGTGGGCTCCTGGTTCTATCGTCGTCTCGTCGCCACTTCCTGTGCAAAAACAGATTGGTAGCATTGTGAAGCAGCGGATAGCGGCTCCAGACTCTTTACTGAGCAGCTGCAGGTTCGAACACAGGGGGAGGTACAGCAACTGTACTGTCGAGCAAGGCGCTTCACTCGGACTGCTCCGCTAAAACGCCCTGCCGTGTAAATCGGTAGAAATTCAAGTTGTTTCGGATAAGAAACAAAACTAAAAACTTAAACGACGCGCAATAGTGTCACCACTCTCCTTAGTTTGTGTGTAATATTATAATATTATCAGTACTCTCTATAAATGATTAGATTTGATTATTTCTAATTTTATTATTAGCTCATGTAACTAATAATACAGTTTTATCTCAGAGCACTTTTCAATAAAACCAAAACTCCCGTGTACAAAGGAGATAAAAACGAGAGAAATAATTCAGATTGAATGAGTCTGGATTAGTGAATGAGCAGTCCCACAGGTGCCTTTCTGTCCGCACCAACTGAATCCCAGTCATCTGGGAACCATGCGCTCATGAGAAACACTTTTCTCTCACATCATATCATATTATTCTCTCATATCGTTAAGAGCCGGACGCTGAGGGATGAGTCTCAGGGCCGGTTCTGATGACCCAGTGACTGCAAACTGGACTCTCAGCCGCTGAATGTGACTTTCAATTGGGATAAGACTTTGATTAATTTGGTTTATTTAATGCTATTTTCCTCTCCTTAGACTATAGCTGAAGTTTACAGAGTACCTATGAATGATATATATATATACTGTAAACTGTTGTAAGATAATTAATAAAAAGCACTGTATAATTGGAGGGAAATATTAATTTTACACCTACTCCTCAGGTTACATAAGGGTTCAGTTGGTTAAAGTCTTACATAATCCGAATCTTATGTAAATCGGAAGCGACACTTCCATAGCTGTTGCGTAAATAGCCAGAGAGAATCGCCATTCACGACAGGAGAGCAGAATTGCAGGCCCGGCAGAGTTCATTGTGCTTTAATGGTTAACAGGTGTGTGTGCTGATCACGGCGGGAGATCCTCAACAAGAGAGAACAGTCGTAGCAGCTCTCAGTTCTCGAGGGAAAGAGAAAAACAGTCTTCCAATAATTCCGGGGGGAGAGTAGTGAGCTAACGATGAGACATTTTAAAACCCTACAATTAGAATAATTGAAGACCAAATGTAGAATACATTTAAAAATATATATTGCAGGAAAGACATTTTAATTACCCCTTCATGAATTTAAAAAAACTACATTTTCCACTACTTACATTGCTCCTCTGGGGTAATTTACCTGCGCAGCTCACTAACTTTCATCTCAGCGACATTCAGCGCGTTGTATCTTACCATGTGTTGATAGTTGCCTTGGGTCTAATTCTTTACTAGACGCCAGAAAATACAAAGATAGCTGCAAGAGTGACAAAACGCCGTTCAGTACAGGGTTCTTTTCTGTCGTAAAGATTGGGACAAGCTCCTTGATGCGCTGTTTGAGGCGCTGCTTTTAATATTCTAAATACGGCTTAGTGCGGCCCGTTTTAAGAAAGGTTGAATATTATGTCAGGATGTTTCATAATCATGCATCACCCCGATTTAAAATAAGTGATAATACGTTTAGGAGCAATAGTTTCGAAACTTTTTCAGTTTCCAACCCTTACAAACCAAATATTAGTGGAAATAACCGCAAAATACAACAAAACTCGGCATTCCGAGCGAATTTACTGTCCCGTTCTGTCTGCGTCTTTGTGTTGCATTGGATCCGGAAGGTGAGAGAGACGGGTAACAGCTCTGCCCCGAGGTGGAGACGGGCCGGGGCTCCCACAGGGACCAGCGAGAAGCTGCGCGCGTTATCATTGCACATCGGCGCCGACAAGGGAAGCCAGCACGCTCACTTTCATTTTAAGAAGGTTTTTAAAAGGCATCAGCGGGACCACAGCTGTCTTGACTCGGGGAACAGTAGTTCGCTGTGCAGTGGCTGATGTTCGCACGACTCATGAATAAAAAGGAACATCCGGCGCCCGCCCTCTCGTCGCGAAAGTTAAATCGACTCTGGGGTCGAGTTTTGGTCCAGGTTTTAGTCCTGCGCGTCAGCAGCCGCCCGACCCCACCCCAGCTTATTAAAGCATTTAACGTCTCGGGAAAGGTCTCAGTTTGATCCTCGTCGCAAGAGCTCTCCAGCTGTCTTTCTAACAGATAGCTAACAGATCTCCCGAGAGCGCGGGTTCCAGAAAGCACATTTTAAAGACCCTTAAGTCTAACTGGGCTGGGGCTCTCCGGGTCCAGGGTTCCAGATCCCTGATCTATAGATACTTCCATCATTCCTGTGATTAAAAAGCCAGCCTAGGGGAGGTCCTCTCTCTGCATGACAAGATCTCGGCTACAACCCAATTCCTCCCATTCGCTGCATCCGGCTGGAGAGATGGACCCTTCCAGAGACGCAGCTCGTGGAAGTCTGCCACAGGCCGTGCAATAGTGTGGAAAATCAGCATTTCGAGGAAGACTCAGTGTCGCCCTCAATGACCAGCCCATTCCGGGATAACCTTCACGTCGTTTCCTTCAGGGTAGGTGGGGGGTTAGGGTGGCATCACGAAGCAGAGTGGACACCTACACATTCATGGTGCGCATCAAGCAGGGCAGCAGGCCTATACTTTCGTCATGGGACACTTAACCATGTGACCAGCCTTCAGAGTGGTCAGCTTTAGCACCTCAGAGGGAGAGAGATGCATTGGTACTGTAGGTGGATGTAGTAGATTCCTGAGTCTGGCTGCAGTCATATCTGGCTGTTGTCCGCGGACGCAGGCCTGTGCATGTCAGTAGTTCGCCTGGCACGAGGCTCAGCCTCTGCCTGCCCAGCCCCTTTCAGCCTGTCCTGAGATCTCCAGAGGGCTGCAGCAGACTTTCTCAGGGCGCTCTTCTTCAGCAGCACCAGCTCAGAAGTCCTGTGGGAGGCTGGGCTCAGCCAGTTAATCTCGCAGGCCACCCGGCTGTCTTTAATAGAGTTAGCGGGGCGGTAGCTGTACTGCAGCTATCTGCACCTCGCTGGGAACCAAAGTCCAGCGCTCCCCCCCGAGCTCCCAGCCAGCCATCTTATCTGCTGACACACTAACTGGCTCCTCAAAGCTGATTAGGAAGCCCTGCGCCTGAGCAAAGCCTGCAGAAAGCAAATACAAAGAGAGATTTTCAAGAAATCTCCTCTGAAAACCTCATATGGCTGCAGACATTTCACAGCCATTGGCTTTCCTTCGGCAAGACAACAAAGCTGTAGCAGCAGGGGAGACGTCTTTTAAAAAATGTTTAAAAGATGAAACAATTAATGAAACGAGGTAGGCTGCTACCAAAAGGTTTCATGGATCCGTAACCTTTCAAAACCAGGCTCTTCAGCGCTATAATCACTAACGTGTTGATTTCTGGATGGTTTGTTTTTGCAGGCTTTATAAAGCCTTGTCTGCAAAATTAAGACTGATGCAAGCTTTGGCTCAACAGGGTCCTTTAAAACTTTTAATTTAAGACAGAGACTTAACCCTGGATGTGCTGATTCATGGAGAGCACCTCCTCACTCTTGGCAGGTGCTCAGCAGAGCTCTGCAATGTCACAGGTCCTGGGACACAGAGTGGAGGATAAGATCATCTTCTTCTCTTACAAAACGATCCTGGTAGTAATGTCCTGGTAAGAGCTGTGTGCAGAGCAGTGAAAACCATGGTCAATCACACGCAGGTGTGGTGAAATGTTACGTACAAACCACACCTGCCAAAAGACCCCACACGTTTAACATCAGAAATGGTAAACGAACAGTTTAGCACGATTAGGGTGGAAATGGTAGATGGTTCTGCTTGGCCCCTCCATGCTACCGCAACAATATGACAAGAAATGTGTTTGTAGTGGCAGCTGTCATCCAGCTTTGTACATATTTCTATTAAAAAAAACAATCACGTCAGATGTTATAAGAACTGAATCTCCTCTCACTGCCTGTTGTCAAAGCAGAGGCCCGCACCTGACTTTACGCAGGTCTGCATGTCCTGTCTTCTTTCAATATACTTGCATCAGGAAAGGGCGACCCCCATTTCCCAAACAATATTTAAAATCTGTGAATTAGTAACTACTGCTGTATCACGCAGGGGCTTTTATGCTCTTGTGATGATTTACTTTTGTGTATGTTGCTGAGAACAGGAGACACTTCTTCACACAAAGGGTGGTGGAAGTGTGGAACAAGCCACCCAGCCATGTTGTTGAAGTCAATACCCTGGCCTCTTTCAAGAAACAGCTGGATGAGATCGTGGGATCAATGAGCAACTAACAACCAAATGAGCTAGATGGGATGAAAGACCTTTTCTTGTGTGTGTCCGTTACTGTATTCTGACATGCAGCACACTGACCACAGGGGACAGTGAGCAGTGCTCATCTGGGCACTGAAGAGTGATCTGCTGTTCTTGTGCCCCACTCTGAGCTGTACAGGCCCCTGCCTTCTCAATCCCCAAAACCAGTTCACACCAGTGTTGTCATCACTCTGATAAATGTTGCTGTGTAAAGGATAATGTGTTTTTAATTTGCTCAGATCTCTTGTGAACACCCGGGCCTATAATCCTTTCTTGGTAGAGAGGCTGGCTCCAATCACCTGCTGTGATCATGCGAGTGTGCTCTCTGGCCGGTCCAGAAGGGTCCACTGCCCTCCTCATCTGGAGCTCCTAAGGATCTTCGACTGAAAGGTCAAAATGCACCCCCCTCTCACCTCCTCCTTCTCCTCCCCCTGCCCTCACATTCACTGTATCTAGAAGACTTTACTAACCCACGACCTCCTTCTGTATTTAAAAAAAAAATGATTTTTTTTCCAGAGAACAAAAA